GTGGATGGGGGTGTGTGGGTGTGGGTGTGTGCGATACTGGCAGCAAGCAGAAGTACACATTCTCTTCATGCTCTCCGATCTTCCTGCTTGTAACAGTGTGAGCCACGCGGGGAATGGACGTTTTTTCAAGTCTAAAATAGCTCGATTCCCATCAATGAATCTCCCTCTTAAGTTCAAAGGCAGTACTGACAAAGGCCTTGTGCAAGGGAAGCAGAAGTGGGGAGTAGTGCTGGCAAGCAAAAGGCACAGCTATCATCTTGTGTCTGATTACTTTTACATACATACACACACACACACAGAATGAACGTCACTCGTTTAAAAACAATTTTATATGCTATAGAAACACATCCATCTCAAGTCAACACTGTTCCTCCCCTTTCGTACATAGAAACCAAGGGCAACTTTTGGGAAAAGGAAGAACTAGAAAAACGAAATCCATAAAAACATACATGAAAGAGGGAAAAACTAAACACCAACATTTACGTGACCATATTGGAATTTCTTGTATTCATTTTGACCGGGAGTTTTAATCTGCTTCCACTGTACACTGTCCTCCAGGGCTGCTTAGGGGCAGACGGGACTGGTTTCCTCTAGCCCAACTCTGGCCAAAGGGCTGAAGAGCATTAGAATTGGAGGTAAAAAAAGAAAGAAAAGAACAAGCCAGAAGAAGAATATAGATACAAAAAACAAACAAAAAAATCCTTCTAACAGTGACCAACCACCACCTCCTCTAAAATAAAATAAAAACCTGTTACCATAGAAACTAGCACAAAGCCAAAGCACAAGTGGGTAGAGAAACCACCAGGTAATCACCCCCAAATCAGACGGAAGCACAGATGATTAGTCCTTTCAGAATGAAAAAAAAAAAAAAAAAGTTGTAGGTTTTACTGTTTACTGTTTCATCTACACCCATATTAAGAAAAAAACGTAAGCTTTTATATGCACATTATCACTATTGCAACATTTTCTAAGGATGAGCCACAAAGTAGATAGCCTGCAGGTGGATAAAAAGAGCTGATTATATTCATTAAGGGAGAAAACTCTAGAAGCCTTGCCAGAGTCACCAAGCCGATTTAGGAGCTAAAACGCCTCTTGTGCCTTGGGGAAAAAGAAGAAGAAAAGACTTCCCGCTGATTTCCATCCACTCAATGCTCACCTGTCAGGGCATTTTCAGAAGTGGAAAGCTGCTCACGAAGTTTGTCCACGTCGTCTGGGTGCACCTGATCATACAGCGTACTGCCAAACCACTCCGACTGTGGCTGGTTCAGAACAGGGGTGACGGAGTCCGAGACATAAACCACGCGGCCTGTCTCGCAGGAGACAATGAACAGAAAGCCATCTGCTGCCTCCAAGATCAAATGTTTCAGTTCCTGCCGAGGGAACAGATACACAGATTAATGTTGCACTCTGGAAAACCAAGTATTTCTATTCATGCAAAGAACTAAGACTATTCAGGCCATATCTGACCTACAACCACAGCCTTGCACCCCATCTGTAATTACCTCACTGACAAGATAGTTCTCCCAACAGATATTTCCTCAGTTTCTCTATGTTACTATCCACTTCCCTCCTCTTTATCTCAGGACTCAAAAGAGAGAATAAAAAGGTTTGCCGCTAACAATTATTTGAGTTCCCCCTCTGGTCTCTTTTGAGGGTCTTGCTCTACAAATATTCCTACTTTCTCTTTCTTTCCCCTTAGGCCTATATACATGATCAAGTCTGCTCAATTCTATACAAACCTTCCTTCAACTTTGCCCAACTCACCTCTCTCCTTCAGTGCCAAGCTTATACAACAGTAATGTTGTTGTGTTCACTGCCTCTACTCTTCTCACCTTTCATTTATTTCTCAATCCCACTGTCATCTTCGCTCTAAAATACTGCCTTAATGTTCTGAGGAGGTTACCATGTCTTCCTACTGCTCACTCCAGCCCCTTTTCCTGGGTCCTCATCATTGTATTCAACCCCAAGGTTGTCCACTCTGTTGTTTAAACGCTATCTTCCCTTGCTCTGCGACACTGCACTCCAGTGTCTGCTTCCTTCCCAGATGTTTCTTCTCTGCTTCAGGCTCCCTTAACTTTGTCCAGTCTTAAATGCAGACATTTCCCAAGGTTCTGTCTTAGGTCTTCTCCAGTCATACACTAACTACCGTCTTCCGGGGCAATCACATTCACTCCCCCCACCGCGCAGACACCCAAGTCTACAGCCTAGACTCCCCTGGTGTGTCTTCCTCTGAGCTTTTAGCTGACCTAAATTCTGAACATTCACACAGATATTCTACCAGCAACTCAATTCAACAGCTCAAACCTCACTCATTACTTCCCCCTCTAAAAAGTAATCCTCTGTGCTCTTCCAGTATTCTCTTTCTCAGTTACCAGCATCGCCTTCCTCCCAGGCTAAAAATCTCAAAACCTAACTACTCCCCCTCACGTTCTATCAATTCTGTTTTCCAGTGCTGTGTCATCCTTCACCAAGACTAATGACACGGCCTCGTTGCTTTCACTCTCTCTCAGCCATCCTTAAAATGCTACCAGATCTACTAACATAGTTCTGATGACTCCCCACTGACTACAAATTAACATCTAAATTCTTTAACACCTAAACGTTCCATCATAAGGCCCCAGCCTTCCTTTCTATTATCATCTCTCAAAACATACTAAACTACTTGACTTTCCTTGAATAATCCAATCACTCTCATACCTTTGCTTTTGCTCATGCAATTGCCAAAATCTACACTATTCCCCAAATCCTGGTTTTCCGTATCTGTACTTCTACAGGACTTATTACTGCATGGCTATTACAGAACTGGTTGTGTTTTTAACATTTATTTATTTATATGCCTGTTTCCACCAGTGACTCTCTCTTACCATTCTTTATATTCCTCACAGCGCACAGCACCAGCTTTGACTACAGACATTTTAACTGCAGTTCGCTGAATCGGCCATCTCCACGGGGACTTTGGAACACGTTGACTATTTCAATGTACATATCTACAAAATCTGTGCTATGTATGTGCTTTCATATATATCATCCTACTTGGGGAAATTGTTCTCACTCCTTCCTCCCAAAGCATATTCTTTCCTTCCTTCTAATCATTTGATTAAAATGGTGAGACTACAGGTAGATTTTTTTCTTCCTTATACTCTTGAATTTTCCAAATTTTTCTGCAATGAGCATGTGTTATTTTTAATAATCAAAAGAGAACACGGCTTCTTTATTCCTAGAAGTCTTCCCTGATCATCCTTATCTGTTTGGTCATTCCATCCTCTTTAACCATCCCTCCAGTACACATCCATCTAATGCCATATAAATTATTAATACATTTTTTTAAAGCATTTCTTCTCTGTATTCATTTTCCTTTCGTTTTTCACTTCTGTGTTTATCCTGCCTTTCACGTATTATACTCAAGACTCAGTTCCTGAAAGGCAGGAAACATTTCTGCCCTCTCTATACTTCTCACAGTGCATCAAACGTGACAGATCATGCCCCTGAGCAAAAACAACTGATTGTCCGACACCTTTCATCACTAACAGGGATAAGAAGTCGATTTCTTCCATCCTCTACAGCCCTAAAGCCTACCGGGAGGACCAGTTCCAGGGCCTTAGCAGTTGCTCAGTAAAAGTTTAAGGATGATGTAAAGAAAAATCAAAGCTGCCATCAAAGAATCCCCTTAGCCACGCCCGCTCCCTGACACGACTGCTCCTCTCCCGCCTTGTGGCTGCACTCATGAGCCAAATTCTAAAATACCCATCGGCTTGCTAAACAGTTTTCACCCGTCTTCTCTAATGCTCACTGCCCCAGTGCTAATACATGCCATAACCTGGGATCAAACGAAAGCAACTCGGTGTCCATTTTTAGAGAATCTCACTTTACCACAGTCTGAAGTTTTCCTGAAGAGCTGAATTCTTGTCTTTTAAGCAGTCTAGAACCTCTGTTCTGCCCTGCCCGCCATTATAATACACCACTCCACATTATAGTTATCCATCTCACAAACAACAAAACCGACAGATGCACCCAGATTCGAGAACCCCTCAGAGCTGTGGGTGCCAGAGACCTGATCAGTGAGGAAAGACGGCTTGTAGGTGCCATCGGTGGATGTGTTGCCCGTGCCCCGCAAGGACTTCATATGAGAAACCGCCATGCGCAAGATGGTCAGCTTGTCAGGTTTCCGGGCCAGGGCGCTGCAGGTGGGCACCATGTCCGACAGCTCTGTGATGTAGGCCGTCATCTTGTTCCGCCGCCGCCGTTCAATCTCACTGTGATTCTCCCTGCGCGGAGAGAGGAGAAACCCCACCCACGGGGTCACATCTGGCCATTGGGAGCGGGAAGAACGACATGGACACCGGAGAGCTGCTAGGAAATGGGGTATTTAGATTTAGTGGTGTCTAACCCTCAGAAGTTAGAACGAGGTTTGCCAACCTTCTCATGCAGAGCAAGCATGGGATAGAAACTAATGAGGCAGGCAGAAAACAAGCAAATGCCAGAAGTTCCCTCAGCTCCTAGAATCTTCACTTTCTATGTAAATTACCACTGCTCAGAACTAACAATGTTTTAAGAAATGGTACTATTAAAAAATGCTGAATTCACTCACTTAAGTTCCTGAGACAAATAATCTCAGTTTGGTGCACTCCATGTTTATTAATTCAACATTTTAATTCATGTTTTAAAGAAACATGAAATGACCAGTTTTTTCAAACACAATTATGCTGACGAGCAGTTGATATAAGACTCAACAGTACAGATTCCACTGGTCTAAAAAACATTGCTTCCTTCTAAGCTTCTCCCTTACTCTCAACGCCAGAAGGTTAAATGGGAAGATTCTGAAGTTTCGTTTATCCCAGTAATGCACAAAGCCCACTTTATGTATCTGGGTCTGGGGCTCAGTGCACTGAGCTTCTCAAGAGGCTGCAAGATAACAGCTACTAGATGTCCCTACGGGTCCCCAACCTGGAACAAAGTGAGCTGGGAGGGAGAAGTAGAGTGGGTAGAATGCTGAAAGGCTGGAAAACAGACAATTTGGATCTAACCAGGGTAAGCAGATCATATCTTCAACACTGATTTCCTCCACATTAAAAGTACTAATCTAGTAGTTTTCACACTGGATTTCGGCAAAGCCCTACAGGTTCCTCAGTTTCCTCCGTGAGGACGCCTCAGGGAGAGAATCAAACAAATGCCACCTTTCTGCTTCTAGTTATTTCTCTTTATTTACTTCCATTTCCACTTCAGGATTCTGTTTTAACAAAAGTTTTGTGGTAGAAAGAAAACTACTAATCTGACGTGTAACTCTTCTTTAGAGAAACTAAAGTGGTTAAGTCACTTTTCCAGAGGTTGTCCCCTCTCCCAGTTCAATGCTCCTCCCATCACACCATGCCATTTCCGTTTTTCTGAAGAATGAAACGGTTAGGAGGAGGCATGGGTTGAAATGGCAGCAAAAGGAGCTTGGAGCTCAGCTGAAAGAGGTAAGGGATAGATAACCGGGGAAAATTAGCAAAAATAGGTGCTGGCATTAAGGATCCATTAATGTTGAACCATTCCAGATCACAGAGAACAAAACACAAACAAGTATGGGCACAGTATTTCTTCTGCAGGATTTCTTAAACTATGGAGACAGTCTACAAAAAGAACTCGAGTCTCCTTTCCCAAGAGCAAAAAGGCCTCACCACAGAGGTCCGTATCTCATTACTTTGCCTCAGACACATGAATTTGAAGCACCCGTCTTCCTAGTACCGGAAAGATTTCTGACCCTCAAGTCCAAAAGGCTGGTTTTCTCAACAGCCACATCCAGGCCGCTAAAACTTTTCTGAGAAACCACAAGAAGATTCCATCACCAAAGCAAAACCAGTCCTGTTACAATACAGTAATGCCAGTGAGTCTACCCAGGAAAATAAGAGTGACTTTTCTAGAGGTATGGAATAAATTCTGAGGTCTAAATAACTGGGAACTCATCATGAACACAGACATATTTGTTGGTTTTCTGATAAAAAGAGTATTTCTCTGCTAAAACACCAACCGGCAGAGCTGCACTGTTTCTAAAAGCTTTCTGTTCTGTGAAACTTTAGTGCTAAGATACAGAGGAAAAGAGAGAACTATAATGCACCCATTTTCTGATGGGAGAAGCCAAAGTTCCTATTACACACAAACTTCAAAATAAATCTTGTCCTCTCTTGTCACAGGTAAGGACAAACGCAAAGGGAAAGGGGAAGCAAACAGCAGAGGAGGGAGGAGGAGAGAGAAAGCAGCACCGTCTGCTTCGTCATGCTAAAAGACACTTCTCCTACCTGGCGAGCCTCTCTTTATCCGCAGAGCTCTGCTCATCATCCGACCTAAAAACAGAATTAATGAACTAAGGAATTAATGAACTAAGCTAAAATTAAAATAAAGGGAAAGAAAGGAGAGGGAAAAAGAAGAAGAAAAGAGGCAGAGGGCGGGGGGAGGGAGACATGGGCAAGAACCTTCAAAGCCACCTGTTAGGACAAAGAAAAAGTAATTTACAGGGCAAAGCTCAACATAAAAGCAAGGCCAATATTTATGGTAAATTAACACAATCTGAACACAGGGACGCATTCTGCTAATCAATCTCTGTAGAGACCATGGATATACAGAATTTAACGAGACCCCAACCAAGAAATTTAGAAGTATCACTCTCACAAACTGCTCCTAATCTGGAAAGAAAATGATATCCACACGTGCTATTCTGTAAGTAAAACAGAAAACAAAGAGCAAATCATGGTAAGTGTGTCAAACAAGTAATCACAAATACAATCACACACACACTCAGGACAAAATAAAGAACCAGGTTTTATAAATAAAACTAAGAACTATGTTTCTGTTTTTAGAGTTTCTGCTATATACCCCGCCTCCCCCCAGTTTAGTGAGTAGTGCCTGGGGTCTTAAAAGCCTGCCAGCGGGCCATCCAAAATACGATCGGTCTCTATTTGCCTGGAGCAGCACAGAGAAGGAGACCCAGGAATCAGAGAAGGAATTAAACTGCAGGTCTACTTGCCTCCATGAACTACTGCCTCCTTGTTCATGAGACCAGAACTGGATGGTGGCTGGCTACAATTACTGAATATTTTGACCAAAGACTCAAAAGATAACTCCGGATCAAAAGGAGGAAATATGTGGAACATAATTTCATATTTCTTACAGAATCTGGACCCAACTGGACCCACTGAGGCTGAAGGAGCCCCCAAATCTGTTGCCCTGAGAAATTTTGAACCTTGAACTGAACCTCCCTCAAGTCATCTTCAAACCCAACAACAGTTTAGCTGAATTAGTAAAGAATGTTCGCCTTGAGCACTATGCCCTTTTAAAGAATTGCCTGTATCAGACCAGACAGACAACAGTAGCTCTAAAGCACAGGGAGTAATTTATGAGGCAGTGAGTCTAAGTTAATGGTGGTGAAACAATGTGGGGAGAGAAGCAACAATGACATGATATGAAGACTGTACCCGATGTCGCTGAACTGTACACGGAGAAGTTGCTGAATGGGTGTATGATCTGTGCGTACGTCCAACAAAAATAAAATATATAAAAAAAAAGAAGTAGGTTTCTGGTATATCCCCTATGGCTGATCTGTTCCTGGAATAGCTGTCAATTTCCATTCAGTCACTTTCCATTTCTCTGCAATAGAGCCACACCAGTGGTGGATCCTCAGAGACAACTCCCTCCCCTGGAGAGGACAGGTGGCAAATGAAGAAACCTAGAGGTGGTGTTGGGCCAGTGTACCAGTGGTCAATTCCACATGTATGTGTCTGTTACTGTCGTAGATGTACACACACACATATATACGTATATATAAAGCCATTAATCAACAGCCTCAAATAAAATGTCTAAGTTCAAACTACGACATTAACAGACTGAAAGACTATTTAGCTATAAAAAATGACAAGTACAATGATTTAATATATGGGAAAGTTTCTATAAAACGATCAGCAAAAAACACAAACTAACATAGTAACAATGAACAATGAGAACCATGTAAAAATGTATGTATATATTCTGATGAGAAGAGAAAGAAAACTAAATAAACATCACAGTTTAATTGTTCACTGGATTATTTTTTCTTGATAGTTCCTTAGCAAACTACAAATCACTCTTCCAAAAAGTTGAGAAAATTCAAACATTTTCAGCTTTTGAAGCCCCTCTATTGAATTTTCAAGGAGGATATGTGAGGTGAACTAGCTTAACAAATCATATCTTAAAGAAATGAGTTCTGTTGTTTGACAAAAGTTAAATATCTAAAATTCCTATTACTACTACTTCTATTACTACAGATCCATAACTCCTTATCCATTTTAATATTTCTGACTGAAATGTATGAATGTCTTAGTTACCCAGTGCTGCTGTAACAGAAATACCACAAGTGGATGGCTTTAACAAACATAAATTTATTCTCTCACAATCGAGGAGGCTAGAAGTCCGAATTCAGGGTGCCAGCTCCAGAGGAAGGCTTTTTCTGTCTGTTGGCTCTGGGGGAAGGTCCTTATCATCAATCTTTCCCTGGTCTAGGAGCTTCTCAGTGCAGGGACCCCAGGTCCAAGGACGCGCTTCCCTCCTGGTTCTTCATTCTTGGTGGCATGAGGTCCCCCTCCTCTCTGCTTGCTTCTCTTTTTTATCTCAAAAGAGATTGACTCA